AGACTACAAAATGAATCAAACAACCACTATTACAGCATTGATCATACCTCAACAAAATTTTCAAAGTAAAAAATAAATCAAAAAATCAAAAAATTTTATAAAAAAATCATAAGAATAAGAAGGGTAGAACCATTTATGAAAATGAAGATGATAGATTGAAGAAGATGAAGAATGTCACATCCTAAAAAATTTCATCTGGACATAAGGAGTTAAAAACTAGGATAAGGGCCGATATAGAATGTAGACAGAGGAATGAAACAAATTTTGATGAGAAACCCTGATAGGACCCTGGCTGGCATTTTCAGAATTATCGGTGTAGGAAGGGCAAAATAGAAAAATTTGAAAATTTTTTCAAAAAATCCAAAAAAATAATAGAAGTGTGAATTACAGGTTTTGGAACCTCAACGAAAGCTCTAAAGGTGAAAATCATGTGAAAATAAATTATTATGGAATTTTCTGAATACGAAGGTTTTTCTGGAAAAATAGTAAAAAGTCAGAGAAAAATAATTATTTTAAATAGTTAAAGACCTCAATAATTATGATAAAAATATGAATTAATTATTTAAATATTTATAAAAATTTATAAAATTTATTTTAGGCCTTGGAAGCTCAAGGATTAGTTTATGGGAATTTATTTCCCACAGTCTTACCAATAGACGCCTAATCAAGGAAAATTCAAAATAAATAGTTAGAGGTAGAGAAAAATTCTAAAAATTTTCAAATCATATCCTTATATTAAAATGGGATTTTTCATGAAGAGAAATAAATTTTTAGAGGCATACAAAAATTATGAAATGTCACTAGTGAATAGTAATTGATAAAGTTTCAAAATGGTTTAGAATTGTGATTTTATTTGACCCATCTTTTTGGGCCATCCTAAACCATAAGTGGACCCCACATTGGGCCTGGAAGAGGCCTAATTTTGTACAGTTTCTGGACCCTTCAATTAAATTGAAATAAAACCTAGTTTTCATGTAAAAATCTTGGAATATTCTAGCAAATGGACACATGGCTCGATCTGAATGTTTCTTACACTTGATGGTAGCCAAGTGCCCCTCTTAGGTGGCACTTTGGTTATCCAAAATAAGGGGAAAATGGCAGAATATTTTACCTATAAATATCCCCTTAAAATACCAAAAATAGGTAGAAATTGGGAAAACTAAGGGGAGGTTCTATTCATTTGAATTCCAGACTTGTGGACTAAAATTCTTGAGTGATTTGGGGAAGGAATTAGCAAGCTTTTATCAAGGAATCATCAAGGTATGTCTAAGCCTTGCTACAGCTAAGATTTAAGCTTATTTTGATTAGGTTTTTGCATGAAAATTCAAGGAAAAATGCTACCCCAATTCGGTCTGAATGCTTGGATTAATAGGCTTTGAGGAGAGGAAACAAGAAGAATCATATTTCCTTAAGGAGACTGAGTTGTACAAGGACTAAGAGGTAGTATTGAATTATAATTTAAGTGTTTATCTTGCTTTTTTAATCTGATTATGTTAGTTGCTTGAACTGAGAAATTTGTGTTGTGATAATTGTTGATTTGCTAACCTTTGATTGTGCTTTAGCCAAATACATGGAAATATGCTAATGTGAAAGTGTTGATGTTCCTCTTTTGGTATGGAAATATGCATTTGAGGATGTCTTGAAGTTTCAAAGTATGTCACATTATATCTTGCTTGATTTACATGAGAATTATAGTTCATTGCTACTGAGATTTCTATGAAATCTCATTCCCTCCTAGGAAGTGGTTCATCCTTGGACAAGGGCAAGGAGCATTATGGATTTTGTGATGATATATGAACAAATGTAATATTTTGGTAAACTTTATGATGATGTTGTAATGAATTCTAGACAATGCCCTTTTTATATCCAAGTTAATATAATGTGCTTTGATGGTAGAAATATGGATAATGGGACGCTTCATTGGTATATCACATGGAAAAAGGAAAAGAAATTCAACAGATAATGAATTAGGGGATAAAAATGCCTAAAACAGGGACAATCTTGTGTCACATAAAATAATGAGCAAATAGGCAAATTTGGACTTAAAATTTGGCAGGCTTATAGATCTTTATTTTTAGCTTTAAAAATAAGAGATAGATCATTAAATTTGGAGTTTTGTGCTAAGAGATATATGCCCTTCCAAATTTGGGCTAAAATACTAGAAATTTAAAAATTGACCAAATGAACAGTACAACTTGTCGAATTTTTTGGCTCTGTTTCGGAAGGATATGAGGCTAATGAGTATTTTTCATTTATAGAAGGCATGACAAGCTTCAAATAGAAATTGGAACCACTCAGCTTTGATTTTGCTACATTTAGTTATAAATTTTCAAAATTGGCCTAAAATACTGTGAATTGTGAATAGTAAACCGAAAATGAAAATTTCATATTTGAATTTTTCTTATACCTAAGGCCTATACAATGATCCTAAAGGATTCTAATTGCTATATAACAAGGTAATAAAGGAGGTGTGACAAAGAAGACTGAAAGAGGGCAGAAAAATTTCATATAAGGCCATGAGTATTACCCACAAGTCACCGTTGCTGCCACGTGGTCGAGATCAGAGGTCAAGGGTGAGATGTCTTAGAAGCGGTGGAGGAAAAGATGGTAACAACAATGTGAGAGAAGGGGAAGAAGAAGAAAGGAGTGGATGGAGGAGGAAGGGACTGGCGAAAAAAAGGTGATGTATGGAGAGTTGAAGACTAGAGAGGATTAGAGAAAGGCAGAAAATGGCGGTGGGAGATATGAGGAAGTGAGAGGGCTTTTTGAGTTCTAAAATTTAATTTAAATATTATATAAAAAATGATAAAAATATTTAACAATGGGATGGGATTATGGGAATCGAACTTGGGAGTGAAGACAAGTAATAGGCAAAGCACTTGAGCCACTGAACCAAAGTTATTACTTTTACATGGGTAGGAAAAAAATAAAGTATTATAATAAGATACATACATATAAAAAATTAAAAAAATATAGGTGGGCACAGGCAGCCCAAGGTTGTGCCCGTGGCTCGCCTGTTTATGCTTCTAGCCTGCCTATTTTACATGTTTTTTGGGCAGGCCTAAATGGGTAAAAAATTTTCAGGTTACAGGCAAGCATGATAGGTTACAGGTTCTTTGCTCAATCCTACACGTATTTTACAGTTTTATCACCATATTGGGTACTTTTTTTGGGTCCTAACTTATCCGGTAACCTTAGGACATATTCTGACACCCTTTTTTCATCACAAATAACCTTACATGGCATTACATATATACATGTTCATAGAGAGGGATGTGTTTTATTCTTTTCTCTCTATTAAACATTTAATAATATTTACTTCGAAATAAACTTGACCGAATTTTCTCTATTAGCCCATGACTCCGAGACTCTATCTCTAGGCACCAATACTACCTTTTCATCATAGGAAATTTTTTTAATTTTTCTCAGATCAAAAGTCAACCATAGACAATTTATTTTGACTTCTCCTGGATAGTGTATAAATAGGCTTTAAATTCATTAAAGCCAACCTATTCATTTTCTGGGGACATGAGCAAAGTGTTGATGTTGATTATGGTTATGGATCTAATGAGTTAATAACATTATGTGCTAATATATTTAAGGCCATAAGATATCAAGAAATATGAATAAAAAAGGTTGAGCAAGCAACCGAAATAGTTGGAGGCAAGAGAAAGCTCAATGACACAAGGTAGTGAACTTGGCCTTATTGTGTGCTTGATATGCATGTTTGTGTGTGATGTTACTTGACGATGATTTAGAATATAAAAGATTGAATGTTGCTTTGTTTCTTGTATATTCCATGGCCATGTGTGAATAAAATATTGAGCATTAGAGGATGTCATTTTATAAGCATGAGAGCATGAGACCAAGCACGTCATACACTTAGCACTTGTCTTACACACATATAGGTAATGTTGGCAATTGAGATTCTCTTGAATCTCAACTTCCCTTGACCAACCCTAATAGGTGTTAATGAGAAAGCAAGAGGATGCAAGAAGTGGAAGCAAAGAAAAGAAGAGAAGAATTGAAGAAATGTATTATATTATATTATGTAATTCCTGTGTTAATGTATATATGGATAATGGCAATGATATTATGTAATGTTAATGTTAATGGCATGGATGATGGAGCATGTTAATGCATGAGAATGAATTAGGTAATGTTGGAATGATAATGAGTATGCAAGGAATTATTATGATATGTTAATTTAAAGTAAAGGGGATAAATGACTCTTAATGTGCAGTAAAGTTGAGGCAGAGTAAAAGTAAAGTAAATGAATAAATCTGCCAATGAACATCCTAAGCTTTAAAACAAATAGTAAATCACTTAAAATTGATATGTTGGTGAGAACCCACAAGGGAAAAATCCCACGAACCCACAACCGATCTGAATATACGCACCCCAAGAACGTAAACAAAGGTCTGGTGATCTACTTGAACCCTTGAACACGGAAGAACAAGGACCCGAAGTGTTGAAAGACGCCACAAGATTGATCAAGCCTTGATAAGTCTGTTAGTTCAATGAAGAACCCTAGAGAGAACTCCTCTCAATCAGAAATTGCAAAATGCAAGTTTTCATTCAAAATTCCAAATCTCCTCCCAAAATGAGGGTTACAATATCTTATAGAGGATACATTCAAGATCTGACCTAAAAAGCATTAAATGCAATCTAGAAAATCAAAACATAATAAATTCATAAGGACTTGATTTAGGTAACTTGGAAATTCAAAAGTCAAATCTGCCAACTAATTATGAATTTTCGCACAAATGCATTTAATGAAATATAATCAGCATATCAAGCCCAAAATATGATTAATTAGGCCCAAATGAGTCTTCTCATGTGTTGTACTTGATCCAAGCTCCTTAAATTGAAGTCTCCAAGCCCAAGATATGATCAGTAGCTCCATTTTCAGCCCAAATGACATTAGTGACATCCTCAGCATTTTTATCCAGATTTGATACTCCAATAAATGCCATTTGCTTTGTCAAGGTGTCTTGCACTAGCCCACTCAAAGCTTCCTTAATTCTTTTAGCTCTTGCTCTTGTGATTGGTCCAGTTGGGATTTGCAATGGATCATTGGAAGTTGAGGAGTTAGCTTGCTGTATCGCATCATTCCCCCTCTCCTCAAAAGGATTCGACCTCGAATCATCACCTGCATCAAAAGGAGATAAATCAGCCACATTGAAAGTAGCACTAACATTATACTTACCAAGTAAATCAATTTTGTAAGCATTGTCATTGATTCTTTCAAGCACTTGAAATGGACCATCTCCTCTTGGAGCTAATTTGGACTTTCTTTGAGCTGGAAATCTTTCTTTCCTCATATGCACCCACACCCAATCACCAGGTTCAAAGAGAACACGCCTTCTTCCTTTGTTAGCCTTGGATGCATATTGCTCATTTTTCTTTTCAATTTGTTGTTTCACTTTTTGATGAAGTTGTTTCACTGTTTCAGCTTTTTTTGTCCCATCAAGACTGGCCCTCTCATCAATAGGCAATGGTAATAAATCCAAGGAGTTAGTGGATTAAAACCATACACTATTTCAAAAGGAGAATAATCAGTAGATGAGTGCACACTCCTATTGTAAGCAAATTCAATGAATGACAAGCAATTTTCCCAATTCTTCAAGTTCTTTTGAATCACAGTTCTAAGCAATTGAGTTAAAGTTCTATTAACTACCTCAGTTTGTCCATCAGTTTGTGGATGACAAGCAGTAGAAAACAATAATTTAGTACCCAGCTTACCCCACAAAATCCTCCAAAAATGACTCAAGAATTTTGTATCCCTATCAGAAACAATACTTTTAGGAACACCATGAAGTCTTACAATTTCCTTAAAGAACAAATCAGCAATGTATGTGGCATCATCAGTTTTATGGCAAGCAATGAAATGTGCCATTTTAGAAAATCTATCGACAACCACAAATATGGAATCCATACCCTTTCTTGACCTAGGTAAACCCAAAATAAAATCCATTGATATATCTACCCAAGGTTCACTAGGCACAGGTAATGGGGTGTACAAACCATGTGGCAAGACTCTAGATTTAGCCTTTTTACAAGTTATGCATTTAGCACAGATTCTTTCCACATCACGTTTCATTTTAGGCCAAAAGAAATGTTCATGCAAAACATCCAAAGTCTTTTTCACACCAAAGTGACCCATTAATCCTCCCCCATGTGCTTCTCTCACAAGTAATTCTCGCAAAGAACATTGAGGCACACACAATCTGTTTTCTTTAAACAAGTACCCATCAATCCTATAAAACTTTTCAAATGCTTTCTTTTCACAAGCAAGAAACACTTCAGCAAAATCAGCATCAATGGCATACAATTCCTTGATATATTCAAAACCAAGCAACCTAGCATTTAGAGTAGTAAGAAGAGTATACCTTCTTGACAATGCATCAGCCACCACATTTTCTTTACCTTTCTTGTATCTGATGACATACGGAAATGTCTCAATAAATTCCAGCCACCTTGCATGTCTCTTGTTCAGCTTACCTTGACCCTTAATGTGCTTCAAAGATTGATGATCAGTATGAATTACAAATTGTTTAGGCCAAAGGTAGTGTTGCCAATTCTCTAATGCTCTTTTAAGTGCATAGAGCTCCTTGTCATATGTTGGATACTTCAAGGCTGCTCCATTCAACTTTTCACTAAAATAAGCAATTGGCTTTCCTTCCTGCATCAAAACAGCTCCTATTCCAACTCCAGATGCATCACATTCAATCTCAAAAGTTTTGTTAAAGTTAGGCAATACTAATACAGGTGCAGAACACAATTTATCCTTAAGCCTAATGAATGCAACATCTTGTTCTTTATCCCATTTAAAACCAACAGACTTTTTAATAACTTCAGTGAGTGGTGCAGCAAGTGTGCTAAAATCTTTGACAAAGCGCCTATAAAAACTAGCCAAACCATGAAAGCTTCTCACCTCAGTTATGCTTTTAGGTGTTGGCCATTCTTTAATAGCTCTTATCTTTTCTTCATCAACTTCTATTCCTTTAGCACTCACCACAAAGCCAAGAAAAACAATTTTATCCATACAAAAATCACACTTCTTCATATTTGCAAACAATTTTTCCTTTCTCAAAACATCAAGCACACAATGCAAATGATTCAAATGCTCATCAAGATTCTTGCTGTAAATCAGAATGTCATCAAAATAAACCACAACAAATTTCCCAATGAAAGCACGCAAAACATGATTCATTAATCTCATGAAAGTACTAGGTGCATTAGTTAACCCAAATGGCATAACTAACCATTCATACAAACCATGTTTTGTTTTGAAAGCAGTTTTCCATTCATCCCCTTCCCTCATTCTAATTTGATGGTATCCAGATTTCAAATCAATCTTAGAAAAGACAATAGAACCATGCAATTCATCAAGCATATCATCTAATCTAGGAATGGGATGGCGATACTTTATAGTGATGTTATTCACAGCTCTGCAATCAATGCACATCCTCCAAGTTCCATCTTTCTTTGGGACCAAAAGTACCGGAACAGCACAAGGACTCAAGCTTTCTCTAACATATCCCCTTGCCATGAGCTCTTCCACTTGCCTTTGAAGTTCCTTTGTCTCTTCTGGATTGCTTCTATAGGCTGGCCTATTAGGAATTGTTGCTCCTGGAATGAAATCAATTTGATGCTCAATTCCTCTAATGGGTGGTAATCCAGGTGGAATCTCCTCTGGGAACACATCAACATATTCCTGCAATAAAGAACTAACAACACTTGGAAAGGAAGAGTTAATGTCATTAGTATCCAAAAAGGATTCCTTGTAAACAAGGAGAAGCAAATGTTGTTCAGCCAAAAAGGCATTCCTCACTTCACTTTCTTTTGCATAAAAACTCAATTTCTTTTTCTCTTTTCTCTCTTCATTTTTTTTCTGAAATTCTTTTTTTGAACTCTCATCTTTTCTCTCCTTTTCACTCCCATTTCTTTTTGATGTCTCTCTCACATTTTTCATATCACTCTCTTTTTTATCTCTCTCTTTTTTCATCTTAAGTTGATCCTCATACACTTGCTTTGGGGTCAATGGTACAAGAGTAATGGGTCTGTTGTTCATTACAAAAGAATATCTATTTGTAAGCCCATCTTTCTTTACCTTTCTATCAAATTCCCAAGGTCTTCCCAAAAGTATATGTCCAGCATGCATAGGAACAACATCACATAATACTTCATCACAATACTTCCCAATTGAAAAAGAAACAAGAACTTGCTTATCAACTTTAATCTCCCCACATTCATTCAGCCATTGCAGCTTGTATGGTCTAGGGTGTCTAACAGTGGGCAAATGTAATTTCTCAACCATTGTAGTGCTTGCAACATTTGTAACACTCCCACCATCAATTATCAAACTACATACCTTGTTATTAATGAGGCAGCGAGTATGGAAAATATTTTCCCTTTGCTCATTCAACTCATCTTCCTTCACTTGACAATTCAAGGCTCTTCTAACCACAAGGCATTCTCCTTCCACAGCATACTCAATCCCATCATCACTAGCATCTTCAAGTAGGGGCATGGAGTCATCACTTTCACTCTCACTTTCAGTCACAACTTCATTATTTTTCAGAATCATAACTCTCTTGTTGGGGCATTGAGAAGCAATATGACCTGTACCCAAACACTTGAAACATTTTATATCCCTATTTCTAGAAGTTTGGGAATCAGATTTACCTTTGCTCTTTGATGAAGCTTCTTCTTTGCCTCTAGTGGTCTCCTTTTGGATAGCTTTTTCTCCTTTCTTCCAATTCTGTTTGAAAGAAGAAGTTGATCCAGAATGAAATTTTGAAGCACCTTTTCGCTTGAGTTGCTTTTCCACCTTAATAGCCATATGCACCATGTCTTCTAGTTCTACATAATGATGCAATTCAACTATATCAGCTATATCTTTGTTCAACCCACTTAGAAATCGGGCCATTGTTGCTTCTCTATCTTCTTGCACATTAGCTCTTATCATGGCCAATTCCATCTCCTTATTGTACTCCTCTACACTCCTAGGACCTTGTGTAAGGGTCTGCAACTTTTGATAAAGCTCTCTAAAATAATGGTTGGGAACAAATCTCTTCTTCATTAGAGCTTTCATTTCGCTCCAAGTTGTTACAGGCCTCTCTCCATTATTCCTCCTATTAATACCCAATTTATCCCACCAAACAATGGCATAATCAGTGAATTCTATTGCTGCCAACTTCACCTTTTTAGCTTCAGAATAATTATGACACTCAAAGATCATTTCTATTTTCTTTTCCCACTCTAAGTAGGCTTCAGGATCATTTCTACCTTGGAATGATGGTATCTTCATTTTGATGCTCCCAAGGTTCCCATCTACTCTATCTCTCTCCCTTGGGTTATTTCTCCCATATCTTCTCCCATACCTATCCCCTCTATGCCTATTCCTTATCAGTTCAACTTCAGATTCAGAATTGACTTCATCCTCACTACCACCAACTTTGTTATTTTCAGATTCAAAGTCATCCATAGAAACCTCCCTTTGCCTTCCATGCCTTCTAGGTTTAGGTTGGGCTCTTTGCAGATTTACAATCCTTTCATCTTGTCTATCCATTCTATCCCTTATCTCTCCATAAACCACATTCATCCGTTGAAAATGTTGCTGCATTGCCCTAAGGGTGTCTTCAATATTCATTGGATTTCCACTACCACCAGATGTCCCATCTGCATTAGACATTGTGACTTCAAGGAAAATTAATTATGTTAGTGAAGTAAAGTTCCTCACAAATTTCCTCACGTGTTTCCCTCAAGAATGACACTCAACACTCGTGTTTCACTCAAACTTGGCTTTTAAATTGAGGTATATCACTCTTGCCTTTTTCCACTCTGAAATCCCTCTTGAGGCTCTTTAAAGAACTAAACAATTTAAACAAAGCAATCACAATATGCAGAATCAGCCAACACTTAGGAACTTTGAGAAATTAAGAGTATTGAATATGGACCTTCAAGAAAAGTCAGAAACTCAATTGACACAAGTATTGCAAAAGCCAAAATAGAATTTGGATATGATGATTTGCTCAAAACACTGCCAGCACTATAATTTCTTTTCGTTTTTTTTTTCTGTCCCTTTCTTTTTGGGTACCTTTTTTTTTTCCTTTTTTTTTTCTTGTCTTTTCCCTTTTCTTTTCTTTTTTTTTTTTTCACTGAATAATGCAAGGAAAATCACAAAAATACCATAAACAAAACAGAACAAGCAATCTGAACCCAGAAATTCCAGAAAATGCGTCCTTTTCAAATGGGTATAACTTGCCCTACAAAAGTTGGATTTAGATGAAACCAAAACGAGACGAAAGAAGGGATTCCGAACTATGAAAATGACCTATTAAACTTCACAAAACTCAACGGAAAAGTGAATGGACAAGGATGACAATTTCGGTGATGAACAGAAACGCAGAAGACGAACAGACACAAGAAAAGGCACCAAATGAAGAACGAAAATGAAGGTAAACTAACAGAAAAATATGACCTGAGTTTAGATCCAAAGCTCTGATACCAAGATGGTGAGAACCCACAAGGGAAAAATCCCACGAACCCACAACCGATCTGAATATACGCACCCCAAGAACGTAAACAAAGGTCTGGTGATCTACTTGAACCCTTGAACACGGAAGAACAAGGACCCGAAGTGTTGAAAGACGCCACAAGATTGATCAAGCCTTGATAAGTCTGTTAGTTCAATGAAGAACCCTAGAGAGAACTCCTCTCAATCAGAAATTGCAACATGCAAGTTTTCATTCAAAATTCCAAATCTCCTCCCAAAATGAGGGTTACAATATCTTATAGAGGATACATTCAAGATCTGACCTAAAAAGCATTAAATGCAATCTAGAAAATCAAAACATAATAAATTCATAAGGACTTGATTTAGGTAACTTGGAAATTCAAAAGTCAAATCTGCCAACTAATTATGAATTTTCGCACAAATGCATTTAATGAAATATAATCAGCATATCAAGCCCAAAATATGATTAATTAGGCCCAAATGAGTCTTCTCATGTGTTGTACTTGATCCAAGCTCCTTAAATTGAAGTCTCCAAGCCCAAGATATGATCAGTAGCTCCATTTTCAGCCCAAATGACATTAGTGACATCCTCAGCATTTTTATCCAGATTTCATACTCCAATAAATGCCATTTGCTTTGTCAAGGTGTCTTGCACTAACCCACTCAAAGCTTCCTTAATTCTTTTAGCTCTTGCTCTTGTGATTGGTCCAGTTGGGATTTGCAATGGATCATTGGAAGTTGAGGAGTTAGCTTGCTGTATCGCATCATATGTATGCTAAAATATATGATTGCTCAAACCTAGGGTAGAAAATCTAAAAAGTACTTTTTAACAAAATAAATAGTACATTTTCACGTAATTAACTGTATGAAATGAGGTGGTTTAAGCCCAGATGTATATTTTTTATGTATAGAGAATTGTAAAAGCTTCAAATAGAAATTAGAACCACTTCTTTTAAATTTTTCTAGAATTAATAATGAATTGTCAAAGTTGGCCAAGATTTTAACGTTACTCTATGAATAGTAATTTGAGAAGAAAATTTTTGACTTGATTTTCTAATTTTAAGGCCATGAAATGAATAGAATATAGGTGATTGAACCCAATTCTTCTATGTCTTTTCATATCATTTTCAAGGTTTTTATCACGGGTTAGTGGCTCTTTTTGTGAAAATTATGCTTAATTTGGATTAAGAGTCTTTGCTCTGAGCTAGTGTCTTTTTTAAGATAAAATTGTCATAATTGGTTAGTAATTGTATTCAATTGATTTCTAAGACAATTAATGCTTCAAATTATTGCTTTTCATTATAGGACACTTGAGAATTAGAGCCAAGATTGAAGACTAAAGGATTACACAACATAAGAATTAAGAGTATTGATTCTAGAGCTGTTGGCTATCATATTGGCTGTGGTGAGCCACAGCCAATGATCTGGATCTAGGCTGAAGACTCTTGAGACTTGTTGGCCATGACATTATATGTAGGTTTGCCATGGCCAATGATCTGGATCTAGGTTGAGGACTCTCAGGACCTGTTGGCTACAACATTGGCTGTGGGTTGGCCACGGTGAAACCCCTCATATCAACAATGCCAGATTCAAATCAGAACACAAAAATGGAGTACCCATTCATATAATCTGACCCAGATTAACCCCTTAACCCTTAGAAACCCTATTTTCAAAATAACACTCTATTCTCTTATCTCCAACACCTCTTTTCACTCATCTTCTTGCATATCCATCTTTATCTTCTTCCCCATCTATTTCTTTATTTTTTTCTTCATTTTATCTCATGTTCCTTCACTCCTAGCTACTATGGCTAACATTTCACTCTGATTGGAGTTGCTCTTGAAGCTGTGGAGGGCTAGGGTTCCACCCTCTTGAAGATAGAAGATGGTGCTTGAGTTCCCAATCTCACTAGGGGAGTTTTCTTGTTTCATCCTTTATTTAGTTATGGGTTTATGATTTCCTAGGTCATAGGAATAGTAATTTATAGTTAAACTCTTTGATTATGGTTATAAGCACTGTTGGATGATTAATTTGTGTTTTATACTAGTTCATGGGGATTTATGCTCTTTAATATATGTGATTGTGTGTGTGTGTGTGTGTATTCAATTTTGACTACTTGCTTCCCTCTCATTCAGCATGATCATGTTGGTTGTTTTGGAAGAAAAGGGTTTTAATTGAATCTAATAAGTTTTGGAAGAAAAGGGTTTTAATTGAATCTAATAAGTCATAAGCACACACTAAGAGTAGTTTAGGTTTATTTTCATTATATATGGTTTCATTATAGTTCAAGTTAATATTTAGAATCCAAACCCCTTTCATTACTTTGCAAGGCATTTAGTCTAGCTTAGGTCATCAATAAAAGCTCTATGTGAACATGACCCAAATTACACTGCTATACTGCATCTCTTGGATCCAGTTATAAATTTCTTGTATTTGACCCTAAGGCGTAACAACACGGTCAAATTAATAGGCTTTGGTAAAGGTTTAAATTGTGCATTAGTTCAAGAAAAACCCAGTATGACAAAAACCCTATTTAGGGAAGTAACAAGTTACTAGAATTAGTCCAACTAAGGAATAATAGTGAGAGAGTAACCTAAGAAATAGGTAGCTACTGCTGTCACATCCAGTGATTTAGTAAATAGGAGTAAGGATATTCCTAGACATTTAAGGGCTAGAATAACAGGAAGAAATGAGGGGACACAATTCTTAAAGTTAAGATAGTATTAGGACAAAAGTACAATTCCTCAAAAGTTATGGGTAGAATTATGTAATTTTAGAAAATATGTTATAAAATCTCAAAAATTAAGGAATAATTATGGAAACTAGAGAAAAGACCCCTGAAGAGTATAGTAGTCTCAAAAAGTCAGAATTTTGATGGGAAATGTTTATTATCAATTTTCAGTTAGTTTTGAAAGTTTGACAAATTAAGAAAAATTGGTCAAAAATTAATTATGAAAAAATATTTTTGAGGCTCAGAAAATTGAGAAAAAATAGGGATAATGTACCTCAGGAATTATATGATAGTGTATAAGTAGTTGTATTCCCAAGTTACCCTTAGAAAAATTATAAAGGAATTTAAGGGCTAATTAAGCCAATTTGGGGACTTTTATTTGGAAAATTGCAAATAAATACTTTTAACGGAAATAAAATTTTGAGAAAATTCACAAGGTATCACAAGGAATTATAAGAGATTATGGAGCTGAAGGAATCCCCTTAAATGTTCAGAATTTTCTTAAATGTCATCCCGCGTAAATAAATCCCTGTGAAAAGAAAAATAGTTTTCTTCTTTGCAATTAATAGAAAATTGTGATGGTAACAAAGGAGGGCATTTTGGGAAGTGAAAGATGATAAGAATGGGTTATGAATTTGATAAAAAATAATTATAGTGGCCAGGATATTGTAATTATAAAATAGGAATTGTTTTCAGAGCAAAATGCACTGATAAAGTAAAAAGCACCCTCTTGTCTTTTACTTGGCCCGCATTATGCTACTTGTCAAGTCATGAATGGAGAGGATTAAGGTGCCACTTGTCAAGCCAAGGGTAGAGAGGATTTTGACTTTGAAAAATCATTTTCACTTGGAATTAAATTAAGAAGGAAAATTAGTGCAAGAAGGCTTAAGGTGTTGACACATCGCCATTGTAATTAGCTTGATCTTGGATGGCTAATATAAGAGGTTTGGCTTATAAATAGACA